TAACTAATTCACACAAACCAAGAAAGTTCATTAAAATTTGTTGATTGTCTTAAAATCACTCCATCTTTCCATTGATCCCTTTGATTAAATGCAAATTCTTGATCATCTCTCTCAATCATTCATCCCACACGATTACTCACCAATATCCATACTAAGGCACCATTAGGGAAAGAAATATTATTGATTTATGGATTTTACAGAATGACTTGTAAATAGCAACATGAAGTTTTTAGAAGATGCCTTATAAATAAGAACTATACAAGTGATTTTGTTTCTTATGATTGCATCCGTACACTCTTATTGCATGATATCTTTAACCTTGCCCTGCACAGTGATGATCAGATGTGTGAACCATAATACAAACCACATGTTCATGCAGGCGTTCCAAATGAAGTTATAGAAAGAGCAGAAGAAGTGTTGGATGCAGTTGTAAATAATAAGCGTGTTGAGAGGCTGTGCAATGAGAACATATCAGCTCAAGATCGTCAATATAAGGTGTCAATTTGAGAGTTAAATTTCAGACATGGATATGATTTTTACATTTTTAACTTTTCCTTTTTACGGCTTGAATGCAGGATGCCTTGGAGAAGTTGTTGCAATTTGATATTAACAAAGGAGACTTGACCTCTTTTTTCCAGGATTTATTTCTTTAGCCTGTGAGTTCCTTCAATGAGGCAAATGATTGTTTTTCCTTCCCTTGAGGTATATACTTTTCTTTTTATGAAACCATTATGTGAATTTTTGTCATTATTATCTCTAGTTCTTTGACCAAACAATGATAATTAGTAGGTAACTGATCACAAAAGTATAAAAACTTTATTTAAATCTAGTTTTTTTAATTCACTTATTACCTTCCTTTTCTGCAGAGCTTGGATTTGTATGTGCTCTATTAAATTAGTTTGATATTCTCCGTCTTGTATCGTTCATCACTTCCTGCTGAACAAACCGACACAACTAGCTGCTTTGCAGTTTTTATGAACAGAAGATGAATGCCTGTGTGTTCATGACAGTACGTTGATTTCTTAAGATGTAAATCAACAGCAAAAGATAACGAAGATTCCTTCTTTATTTATAAACAAGCCAATATGGCGATACAATGAGACAACATTAACAAGAGACACAAGACTTGAACAATTATCTCAACAAGCCACAACTAAATATCAACATTGTAAGGTCTATTTCATAGAAAACTGAACATCTTTGTTCTTTGATATGTTCGCACCAGCCAAAGCTTGGATGGTCTAGTGGCATCAGATGCACCTCCGAATGGGTGAGGTTGTGTTCAAATCTTTTTAGAAAAAACTTGTATTTTTAATTTCTAGTATGGGCAAGGAGATTGTTGGAGATATCAAGTACCATTAACCATCTAATCATGAAAAGTCCGCAACGAAAGTGATATCCCAATGCGCAAAAGTGCTTGCTAGCGGTACAAAAAATTTCTAACTTTGTTCGTCCAGATTCAAATATTTTGGGTATAATTAAATTTTACACTTTGATTTAGTCAATGATCCAGCGCATGTCATATAGCGTTTTTTTGAGTTAAAAATTGGAATTCGTTTATAAACGAAGAAATATAAGAGATTAACAAATCTAGTTTCCTTCATCAACACTTGCCTCCTCACTTAAAAATAGTGGTTAATTAAGGATATAAAAGTTGTCATCATAGTTAAATGATCCACCCAAAAGCAGTCTTCGCTAAACAAATGACGCTGCCAATTCTTATATGAAATCAGTCTAGAATCATCAATAATCATTATTATCTTTAAATATCGCCATAAGAAAATGTGGAATCATGAAGTTAACAATGACCCCCCGACAAAACCAAAAAAAAAAAAAAAAGGGAAGAGGTTTTCAAATAGTCCATTTCGTCGCCAATGAGCAAAATGAAAAAACGTTGTTCTGGTCATCAAAATAATAATAATAATTAAAAAAAAAAGGAATTATTTTATTACCATGCCTGCAGGAACCCAAAAGAAGAATCAAGCCAACTAAATAAATCATAGAAGGAACACCTTGTTTCCTAAATCAGAGATCTCATACAGATCGAAGGCAAAGAGGGAAATCCCTCGTGCCGTCGGTTCGAGTTTCCGTCGGTTCCTAGGTGCAAGTTGAGCTCCTCCACTTGGCCCGTAGTTAGGTGAGGCCATAACAATAAATAAATTCATGTCTAAACTTTGACCAACCTGCGGGGATAGCTCAGTTGGGAGAGCGTCAGACTGAAGATCTGAAGGTCGCGTGTTCGATCCACGCTCACCGCATTTTGTTATGTTAACATTACAATCATCCCTGCTTCTTTCCCTTTCTTTTTCCCGGGAAAATGACACAAAAACAATATTTAAATTTGAAAATCTTAAAATAACCACTTGAATAAGTAAAATTTCAATTTAGGTATAAGTAACCAAATTGGGATTTATAAATTTGTTGAAATGATCATATTACTCTTTATTTTAAAAAATAAAAAAACAAATAAATACCCTCACTATCTTGATGATTGCCAGAGTTCAGCAGCTGGCCAACGACCGGTCGTTGGAGCTTCGACAATTGATAACTATTCTTTCTAAAAAAATTTACGACTTCAATAATGCAATTAATAAGTTCTGTAACATTATTAACAAATTCAATATAACAGTTAATGATAGGTTTTTTAGGAAATTCAAAAAGTGGTACTTTTACAACTTCAGCAACGTTGTTGACAAGTTCTACTCTATTAACAAGTTTGATATAGCATTTAAAAACATGTTTTTTAGAAAATTCGAAAAGTTATACTTTTACAACTTCAGTAACATGGTTAACAAGTCATGTAACGATATTAATAACTCTCATAAAGGTTAATGTCTTTAATATTAGCTCTGGTTGTGCAACAAAATTTTCCTAGCTCTCTATGAAAGTTGTGAGAGTTGTTAATACCGTTACATGACTTGTTAAACGTGTTACTAAAGTTGTAAAAATATCACTTTTTGAATTTTTTAAAAAACCTGTTATTCAATACTAAACTGAACTTGTTAATAGAGTTACAAAACTTGTTAACGACGTTATTGAAATTGTAAAAATACTACTTTTTGAATTTCCTAAAAAAACGTATTGTTAACTACTACACTGAACTTGTTAATAACATTCCAAAAATTGTTAATTATGCTACTGAAATTGTGATTCTAAAAAAAAAAAATTGTCGGCCGCCGCTTGAACTCCAACAGCTGCTATCAATATTGAAGCTCTAGGGACTAACCGGCCAGTGAGGGTTTTGATTTTTAAAAAAAATTAAAAGAATAAAAAAAGGCAAAATGGTCATTTCAATAAATTTTCAAATCCCAATTTAGTCACTTATACCTAAATTGAAATTTTGTTAATTTAAATGACCATTTTGAGATTTTTAAGTTTAAGTGTCATTTTCGCATCCCCTTCCAGCCTCACTGGCTTCTTTTGCACAAATGGGCTGACCTTTTGTTCTCGTTTGTTGGGTCCCTATGGGTAGCTGAAGGCCCGTTTGAGCGAGCCATATTGCTGCCAAGTGCTAATGTCCACAGAAAATATTTCATTAATTTATGAAATTGCTTTTTAGAAAAGAAACAAGAAAAAAAATAGACTTGTATGTTCAATTTTTTTTAATTAGGTATGAAGTAAAAATGAGAATGGAAATAAAAAAAATGAAAAAGGGGCTTTCTTAAAATCCCAATATCCCATTCTTTCAGCTCCCAAAAAAAAAAATCAACATCAGTTCTTTTAAAAAAAAAAAATCATTTTCTTCGTAGAAAGAACTTTAAAAGGAAAATCGCAAAACAAAAGATCAATGAAATAGAAAAATTACACATAAGAGCCCATTCACAAAGTTATTGTCAAAACCTATATTATTATTGTCAAAACTTATACTAATATTATCATGAGTTCTCATTTATAATTTTTTAATTTCAGCTGTCTTTTTCCAATCTTAAATGCAAACCCAAACTTTGGCCCAAAAAAAAAAAGCGAACCCAAACAGTTCAACCCACTTAAAAAAACACAGAAACTTTTGGTGGTTGCTGCAGTGAACTGATCGGGTGCCGTCAAATCAAAATACTTTTAACAGCGTATGCCATCATAAAATGATCAAGGCTGCCATTAATGTGGGCAACTTTATGTACTCTTTCAAGTCTGCTCCCATTCATCCCACTCATCCAATCAAAGGAAAGCCCAAAAATCATAATCTTTTCTCTCAATCTCCCCCTTTTCTATCCATTTATGATTCTTCTTTTATGATCGGAAACCCAGTAGTTTTAGGAGAATTATAATAAAGTCTCGTGTAAAGAAAAAAAATTACAAAACAAGTCTTATAGGTTATTATTCTCAACTCTAAAACTTGTCATTACAGACTGCTCAAATTGTTATTAGACTTTTTAGTAATTATTTTTCTTACATGAGACTTGATTGTAAATCTTCCAATAGCTTTCCCTCCTGCCATCAGCATTAAGCATTATGACGTCAATCTGAACTGTTTCCCCAGTTAGTGTGAGCAAGCATCCACATCTGATTCCCAAATTAGTGCCCCTTTTTGCCTTTTAGGTTCCATCATCACCCAACCATATGAACATGAGAAAGCATCCACACATGCTAGGGGACGGCATGTAAAGTAAGTTTAATTATAGTCCATTTATTTTCTTGATCACACACTCCAATTTAACCATTTTCACTTGCCTTTTTTGTTAATATCTTTTCACCCCATAGATTTGGCTGGATAGTACTAAACTAGCAAACCAAATATAAAACTCTTAATTCTGAACGAAAGACATTAACCCTTAATGCCGGTGCCATAATGTCACAGCGGTGTGGGAATATATGCGTGTGTGGGAATGTTTAAAAAATACAAAACCCTTAAGACATGCGACTATTAGAAGATAGAACTAGATCAAGCAAGGTTATCCAGACTTTGATCTTTATTTTTTTAAAAAAAAAACTGTTTTACCCCCCCCCCCAAATAAAAACATAATCTTGATTTTAAGCATGTTGAGTTCTTGATCGTGATTAGATTGCTATCCAAATCAAAAACGTTTTTTAATTCGAGCCTAGACCATCATGGTCGACGCAATAAATAGCTAGTCCAATAACTTCAATTGCAATACTGAGAGGCTTTACAAATATGAATATTTTGAGCACATGCTTGTGAGGGAATGTTTCAAATAAGGTATAAACTAGCTAATTTGCAACAGGAAATTTTAATTTCAGCTGATCCCTCAGACACTTCTTGAAGCTTTCCTCTGAGCTGTTGCAGTAGGGCACCACCTTCAATTTAGAACAGAGAACAAAAACTTTGAATGGATCTAATCGTTTAAGGATCTCTGGGTCCCTATCATAATCCTGGCAAGATGAGAATTTATATACAAGTAGATGAGTTCAAGTATGGGCATAAATGTCTGAGTGCGCTCGTGTGTGAGTGGGATAAGTGACTTTAGAAGAGAAGTGAAAGGAGTAACTAATCATAGTAGTATAAATGTATATATTTGTAATCTTACAATGACTTGTTACTCTTCTTAATTTATACATTCATATACATGTGTGTGCGCGTGGATGGACAAGAGTACATTTCTAGCTACCTTCTCTGTCACTATGACGATTGGCTTCAAACCAAACCTGATCTCTAGTTCTCCAAGTCTGGCTCTGATCATCTGAATATCCTGTATTAACCCAACATATGAGATTAACAGCTTAGTTCTAAATGCAGAAAAGTGAGGGGAAAAATAAACACATGAAATTCTCTAAGCGGGCAGCTTAATGCTTTTAGTGTGGTTTCCTTTGCATATTTATTTAGTGCTGTGTGGCGCAGCACGAATGTATGACATGAATTTATAAGGGAAAAGCCTTTAAGCTTTTTCAATATTTATAAGGTTTTTAATAAAGCAATGACACCTGAACCATCCTTTAAAGGGAGCTGATGCGTTGCTAGTTTGAGAAAAGGGGGCGAATTATTCACACATCATAACTTTATCAAATAATTTAAACGCCAAGAACTCCATCCACATCTTGTGCTTTAATGATGACTAGAAAAACCATAATAAGCCGGCTTTAAGCCTAATATATGCCTCAGGCTTCTTTTTAGTGTTTCCCCACTGCTGGTTCAGATATGCAGAGATGTGTTAATAGTTGTCATGCATCAAAGCGGAAAATTATACCTCAGCATCAAATATATGATGATCACTAAAATCAACTCGATCAACATAAACAGCTCCCATCTGCATCAAGGTATCTGCAATTTAGAGTGAAAAATACACACGGAGGTAAAGTAAACATATGTCAAACATCCCCATAAAAGAGCTAGAACATAATAGATATCAAACATGATGGCCTAATTGTACGGCAAAGAATTTTGGTAGCTTTGGTCATGACAGGGGTACCAAATAAGCCCAAATGTAACCAGGAAAAGTAAAAACTTATCCATTTAAACCATTTTATACTCATAGCAATGCATGTCTCTTTCAGGTCTTGTCCGTGAGTTAATATTTTGCAGCGATTCAATGCAGACGATGAACTGTTTCACACATTATATGTTTATGTCCGTGTTTGGGGGGTTTTTCAGATCATTTTCCTAGCATCTCATGCAGCAACTCTCATGCATACTGATATGTAATTCAAAATAAATGAGGTAGTTAGAGGAGTTAAAGGAGGTAGGTTGTTATAAGTAGGCCATAAATTAATGGTCATTGATTGTTGTAGTTAGGCTTTGAATATATAAAATTGAGTCCTGTTCTTTCTAGTCTCTCTCATCTTCTATCTTTCTCTATTCTCTCTTCTATCTTCTATTTTCCATTCTGTCTTCTCCTTTCCCATCCCTTCTACATATCACAAACAAATTAAGGAAGAATACCTTTTGGACCTGCTTCACAAAAGAATCTGCAGAACCGATTGCAGAAACACATAATGCAAGGGCTTTATGTACAACCCTCAAGGGTACTTTGGAGTTGATGGTTCTCACGTCAATTAAGTACGATGGATCCATTCTAGTAAAGAAAACAGGAACAGACTCTTTAACTTTTTGAACAATTGACTTGATATCCTCAAGACTATCTTCAGAAACCTGAAAATCCCCAAAAGTATAAGCCTCGTTGCATCATATTTGTACATCTGGAAAACACGTAAAATTAAAAATTATATCAACAGCAGGGGGAAATATTAACATACTAAGTCAGCATGGTGTACAACAACAACATCTGCTCGTCGAAGTGCAGTCAAAGGTTCCCTTAGCGGTCCAAGTGGCATTAGTTGAAGGTTACCCCAAAGAGTTAATCCATTAACCATTACAATCTCCAAATCTCGCCACAAGCTCCAATGCTGCCTTCCGCATAGATCATAGAATTTAGAGCTAATAGCAGGTCAATGTAACAATATTTTATTGCCATAAATGCCTTTTGGTAATTATCACCAAAAATTTAAATCTCAAGCAATCAAAGTGCAGCAGACAAGACTGAGAACAAACATAACTTGAGGAGCATATCTTAGCAGGGACATCAGATGTTTAAACAAATAATGTAGAAGAAAGTCATGTGACAATAGATCAAGGAAAGGGGAGAGGGGCAAGGTGAATGAATGCATCACCTGCATTGCATCATCAAGAACTGCAACTCCAACTTTTTTGGAATCGCGATAACTTTCCTTCTTCCTACTAAGGCAAAGTTCCTCACACCATGAACTTTGATAGCCATTAATATAGCCATATTTTTGGATGAAATGACTTGCAACAGCTGCTCGATTTGCACCAACACCAAATTGAACAGTTGTCCCAGATAAGTGTCTTCGAAGCATGTTGACTTCATCCCCACCTCCATAACCCTACCACAAAAAGGGATAGATTGATTCGGCTGTGCATCTTGCTGATTAAAAGCTGAACTGAATATACATTATAATTATAGTTTTAGTTTGTCATGAAGGATTGGCATTTCAATTAACTTCAGGATATAGCCACTCAAGATACTCATTGTAACTTTAGGGCATGTGGGGCATGGACAGATTTCTAACCTATCAACTCATAGAAGAAGCTTAGTTTCTAAGAGGATACCAGCAGTCTCCATCAGTCTGAGACAGCTAATTTCAATAAAAATCAGTCTGAGACTGTTAGTGCTAAGCATTGAAGGTGTCACAGAACACATCCATCCAGCCATTGTAGGACAGAAAAATTAAAAACCGGGCAAATGAAAAACGCAGATCATTCAGTATGCCTATTTCAATTTTCACACATGCTGCCTTTGCAACTAAACAATTTATCCTGGTTACAAATGAGCCAAATGAGATATATGGTGGTTTCTTTTTAGAAGTTTCCTATTATTTATTATCTGAAAATTTTGGATGTTATCAATAGTTGAGTTAAAAAAGGGGCATTATTTTACTGGTAATTGTGGAGCCACTGTGATTTTGAATAGTCCAATATGTTTTCTGAGTGTACTGTACAATGAAAATATAGAGTCGGGTGTATCGAGGAGATTACAAGGGACAGTGAGGAGAGATATTAGGAATAATTTGAATCTAATCTAATCCCCTAAAATCAGCTTACTATTTCCGAAATTATAATGATCTACATATTAACTACAGTAATCCAGTCACAGGTCATTGGAAAATCCTACCGGAAAACGAAAGGAGTCATATCATGTTAAAATGATAAAGCTCAATTGCATAATATAATACCCTTCCCCAGACATCAAGTTCATTTTCAAAAAATTTAAGGAGTACTTTAGCAGTTCAAAGTCACATTACTATGCCAAAAGTCATTCTTCCAGGTTGGATTGTTAAAACATATGGCCAGATTTACAACTAATTTTAAACACCCTGCTTTTGATTTCAATTCATAGTATACTGATTTTAATAAATTAATCAAAAATGAAAATTTAATATATTTTATTTATTTATTTAAAGAAATCCATCTTGTCTTAAACTCTGATAAAACTGTGATCAGTAAACTAACTCCATGTACTCTGCATGCTTGAGCTATTGGAACATAAACCTATTACGGGAGCAGCAGCAATAGATTTGGTCTTGGTGCAGAGCTCCAAGATAGTACTATTATATTAAGCTCCTTGCACGTTTCTCAGTCAGCCATGCCCAAGTTTACAATAGTTGTTACTTGGCAACAACACAAAATTGAGACTCTGAGCCACTGAATATGACTGAGCTACAACCAGGTGTCTTTTGAGATCCCTCATTCTCCTCGACAATCCTCACCCTTTCAGCTTTCTCCCATTTTTCAGAAGCTGCATAGATATTAGACATAAGCACACCATAAGAATTATCGCCAGAAAGAGAGTCCAGACTTTGTGCCCTAATATCCTTCATTATTTGTTCAGCCATTTCCAAATCTGAATGAATCCGACATGCTCCGAGCATTGCTCCTAGAACTGTGTCATTGGGTTTCATTGGCATTCTTTTTATCAACTCATAAGCCTCCTCTAATCTCCCTGTCCGCCCCAAGAGGTCAACTATGCATCCGTAATGCTTGATGCTTATTTCCAATCCACATTTCAGCATTTTGGATATTAATTCTAATGCTTCATTCACAAAGCCCCCATGAGCACAAGCTGTGAGTACAGTGAGAAAGGTGATGCCATCAGGCCTTACATTTGAATTCTCCATTCTGCCCAAAAACTCAAGGACTTCAAGACATTTTCCGTTGATAGCAAAACCAGATATCATTGCATTCCAGCAGAAGATGTTCCTTTCAGTAAACTCTTCAAAGACCAATCTTGCATTGATTAAATCCCCACATTTTGCATACATGTCAATTAATCCACTAAGAACAAACTGATTCATCTTTAGTGCTCTCTTTCTTATCATATGGTGGATTTTCTTACCAACATTTAGAAGCCCCGACTGAGCACAAGCAGATAAAATACTAACAACAGTAAACTCATCTGGATGAAACCCTTCAGCTTGCATGTCATCAAATGCTTTTAGTGCTTCCTCACCAAATCCATTCTGGACATACCCAGAAATCATGGAATTCCAAATCTCTAAATTCCGGACAGGAACCTGCCCAAAAATGGCCTTGGCCTCTTTGACATTGCCTATCCTTGAGTACCCACAAATCATACATGACCAGGCGAAGAAATTCCTCTCAGGCATCTGCTCAAAGATCTCTCTGGCAGCTTCCATATTCCCTCTTCTAGCATACCCATCAACCATCACAGTCCATGTTCCCACATTTTTTAACTGAGGTGGACCATTTTCAAACAACTGTCGAGCAGTGACAATATCTCCACTCCTTGCCAACCCATCAATCATCTGATTCCAAGTTACTTCTGTTCGTTCTGGCATCTTGTCAAATAGAATTAATGCAGAATTTGTGTCCCCATTTTTTAGGTATCCATTAATCATGGCATTCCAGGTGACAACATTTTTCTCAGGCATAGATTTAAACACCTTACAGGAATCAAGAACAGCACCACGCTTAGCATAAATACCAATTAATGTGGTTCCAATCGTTACATCACTGTCTGAACCAGCCTTAATGGACTCCGCATGCAAAGCCTTCCCATAATCAAAGAATGAAAGAGAAGCACAAGCTTTAAGTAACAAAGGGATCACGCTAAAAAGGTAGATTCCTTCATAACGAATTTGTTTATACACAACCAGGGCCTCTTTCCATGATCCTTGGTAAATATAGTTACTAATTAATGAGAACCAATTAGATACATAGGGGAAGCTTCTGATGGTGCAAAATTGAAATATTTGATTGACAGTTGCAGGATGCAGGAGCAAAAAACCTTGAAAGTTTTGATGTGCAGTTGGAACTTTTGATTGAAAATATCTAGGAAACGGATGTAGGAGCCAATAACATTGAAGGTTTTGATGTAGAGGTGGTACTTTTGTTTGATAATATCTAGCAAAAGGTTGTATGCGTTGTGCAAAACTCAGCATTCTAGCTATTCTCATTTCCATGGCTTCTTCTAATCTAATTGGTGAGGATGATGGGTTTGAAGTCATAATTGAAAGTGCTGAAGAAGCGCTCCATCACTGAGATTTTTGAAGTTGAGGACAAGCAACTGCAGACAGAAACCATTTGAGATTCTGCCACTTGGTTAGAATCCAAATGAGGTGCCTATTATGGTTATCAAGTTCTAATGGTGGTACCGCCAGCTCAAACGTGCTGGGATCCAATCAGTTGAGAGAAAATATATTATATTTGCATCAGATTATTTCAAGAATCATATCAAACCAGTTGAATGACCTGGTTAACCATAACATGATATAAAATTTTCAATTTAACGATGAAATTTCAAGAATGAAGCCAAATTGCTCAATCGCATGAGTGTTATTGGGGAGAAAAATGGCAAGCACCATGCATTTTTACGGTAGTAAATAATAACAGACAACAGATACACAGGTTTTATATTCAGCTGAAAGTTGGAACAACAAGCCAGTGACATAGCATGGTCAAAATCATAAACAGTTCAGTATTAAAAAAGATTAAAAAAATAATATTGAACTGGCCAGCTAAATTTCAAATAAAATTGACCAGTACGGCTGTGACATCTAAGAACTTGGAAAACAACGTAACCGATGAGAAATACCCTGGAAAGAATCAGAGGCGAAATTCCACAATCAGCTAACCAGAGTGCGATGAACTCAACCATCGGTGTCTTCCCATTGCCTCCCCATGTCAAATTCCCGACACTAATAACAGGTAGAGGTAACCTTCCAGATTGAACAAGCACAATACTCAACATTAATGTTCCGACTGACTTACTTATAACCCACCAAAAAAAAGCACTGGAGAGGAGAAGAAAGACAGAAAACAATGAGACAAAGAAAAACGAATTACCGGTGCCTTTGAAAGAAGCCAACTTCGTAGAGATAGTAGCGAAGGGAAAGGACGAGCTTGTAGGTAGAAGAGGCTGCAGAAAGGAAAGGAACGACAGAGCGTTGAAGAGGAGGAAGCTTAGCGAGACTGTGAGCGTAGGCGATCTCCGTAACAAGCCTTCTCAATTTCTCCATGAAGGCGGGTATGCACCATCTTCTTCCCAACGAAGTACACTTTACCCGAGGCGCGTCAATGTTTATTAGGGAAAAATGTCAAATATTTTTGGAATAAAAATATTTTTTTATTCTTTTAATAACATTCCAATTTAATTTCTTAACTTTAAAATATATATTTTTATCTTTTAAACAAGGTAAAATTACACCCAGGTCTCATAGAACTCATAGAAGAGAATTAATTTCAAAAAAGTCCTTAAAATTCCGAAATGATTCCTAATCCCCAGAGATTTGTGTGTAATTAATTGTAATTGTGAAATTATTTATTTACCCCTACTAATTTGAACCCAATATAATTCATTTACAACATCAACAGTGGCTGCTAACAACCCTCGGCAATGCCCCTGGCATTCCACAGAGTGAGTTGTTAGGAGCACTGTCGAGTTTATCAACTACTTTTTTCTCGGGTTGTCAACAGCCACTGTTAAGGTTGTAAATGAATTGCTGCAATAAAATTAATGGGATAAATAAGAAATTTCACAATTACAATTAATTGCACACAAGTCCCTGGGGACTTTAGAATCATTTCGAGATTTTTAAAGACTTTTTTGAAATTAATTGTCTTCTGTGAGACCTGAGTGTAATTTTCCCTTTAAACAATGATAAGGAGCCCTGGAATATTAATAAAAGTTAAAACATTATCAAATGATAACATGTTGGTTTTAGTCTTTAATATAAGAATTAGTTAACTAATTTAAATAGACTAAAGAAATTTATTAAGTTAACTATTTATAATAAATATGTGTTATTTTCTCTAGATATGTGTGTTTGCTAAAACTACCATTTGATAGAACATTTAGTATGTGCAACTATTATAATGACTATTTTGAAAAAAAAATAAATATAAAGAAAAAGTGAATTAAGATCTTTATGTAAGACCAAATTGAATGTCAAACTAACTCTTATATAAAGACCAGGGTAATATTGGGTTTAATTTCAAACTACTACAGTTGCTACAAAAAATTACTCCCTCCGTTCCTTATTATAAGAGACATTTGATGCTTATGGCATGTTCCTATATATAAGAGACACTTAAAAGTTGTCTCTACTTTTTTGTGTTGATTTCCTATTTTACCTATATTTATTGTCTCCAACTCACACTCTCTCTCCTTCCCACTTCTCTTTCTTTTAATAATTAATTGTTCTCTCTCATGCTCTCTCTCCTTATTAATGAGGGCATTTTTGGAAAAAAGATTATACTTTTTACACATTGATTGTTCTTAACTAATTTAACTGTTTTTTTGATCAACGTAATTCGGTTATTCGTTTCTTATAATAAGGAACGGAGGGAGTACCATTTAAGACTAATTATTTTAAAATTAAAGTCTTAAAAACATTTTTTAAAGTTAAGAGACTAAATTAAAACTTTGTAGCACTCTAAAGTATTTATTTTGCCTTGGTGCTGAAAATGCACCTAAAAAATATTTTAAAGTACTATATGCATCAAAAAATATTTCAAAATGCTAGACGTATTTAAAAAATACTTCAAAATATTAGATACAATATAAAATATTTTAAGCTATTGGATGTACCTGAGAAAATAAGTCAAAATGCTAGATGAACTTTAACCCCACAAAATAAAGAATTAAATATATACTTAAGTCAATATTTTAGCTTTTACTACTTTGTAGAAATTTTATGGTCCTGTAAATTGTAAATCCATATTTAGTTTTTGAAATATCACATGTTTTATTCTTGGTCTTGAAAATTTAAAATCACTAGTTTTGATTTTAAAATTTGACCCTTTTTTTTTATAGAAATTTGACCTTATTTTAATTTGTCCAGAAATCTTTGGTCCGCATAACAATGTGTTTGGCTCTTGAAACAAGGTTCTTAAATCACTAAATTTTAATTTCAAGAAAGAAAACTAAAATAAGATTAAATTTTAAAAACTTGAAATATTATTAAGCCAGTTACCATAAGGCCAAACATGTCGTGACAAAAACACTGGAGGGTTGTGAATAAAAATATTTTAGCTTTTATTCATTATTTATTCTTTCATTGCAGAAACAAAGAATCAATCATCAACCTGTTCGGTCAAAAAATTTAACAATTTCAGATTTTTAAAACCAAACACATCAATACAAAATATATCAAAGTATCAAATTCGTTACAGGCTATTTTATTCAATTCATCTTGATATCATCATCACTATTTATTTCACAAATCCAGAACATTTAATTGAATCGAGACATCAATATACTTTTTTTAATATTTATTCATTTTGGTCTTAAATAATATCCATCATAGTTGTATATATCAAGAAGCTACTATCGATAGATAATTCAAAAACACATAATTTAATAAGGATATTTAAAAAATTATATTTATGTATTATAAATAATCAAGTTAACTAATTTTTTTAATCTAAGCACCTCATAACCCTTCATGCTTAAAGTCAGTTGGCGGATAGTGCATATTTAAAAAATGCTTTGTTGGATCATCACTAATCCATATTTCAAGGGAAAGGGCATGGAACGATACCCAATTCTTAAAATGATCTCTAACTATTTTTTACACATGGATCAGAATTGCCAACTTATAATAAGAAAAAAAATTAATACAATTTTTTATTATTTAAGTTTGTTCTTATTTTGATTTTAATCTATCAAATTTCAAATCACATGTCTTAGCCCCTCAAATTTTCTTTTCATTTAAAATATTGATTACTATAATTTCGAAAAACTTGGACCATTTTGTCCTTAAAGAGATCAAAATTTATGATTTAAAATTGGGTTAATATAATCTTTAGCCCCTCAAGTATTCTCTCATTTTTGTTTTGGTCCATCAAGTTTTAAACTGTAAGTTTTAATCTCTCAATGAGTAAAATAGTTCAATTTTTTATTGGATTCTAGAAATCAATGTTTTAAACAAAAAGAAACTTAAGGAATCAGAACCCATGATTTTAAATTTGAAGGATCAAAACCAAAATAAGGACAAATTTAAAAGACCAAAGTTTAGATTAAGCCTTTAAGATTTGATAAACTAAAGTCTAAAACTAAAATAAGAATAAATCTGAGAAATAAAAAATTATATTAATCTTAAAAAAATTCTCAACAACGTTATAGTTATAAATAGGATTAGCAATAAATGAGCCTCACACAAAATTCTGTAGTATTTATTTTTATATTTATAATCTATAAATATCACAATCCATCCCCCCAAAACTCCCTTTTTTTTTTTTTTATTTCACATGAATATGGCCGCGGAGTGAAAATGACGTTAGGCTCAAATGAGCCTATGATTAATCCCCACGAGCCTCCCTCGCCTTCTTCCCGAATCACTCTTCTTTTTCTTCATGCTCAACTTTCTTTGTCAACAAAAGAGAGAATATAAATATACAGAGAAGGGGGGAGAGAGAAAAAGAGAGAAAAGAGGAGGAAAAAAGAGAAACGTGTGAAGAGCAAATGGGAAAAAGCAGGCAACAATTCACATGCGACGTGTGAAGGAAGCAACCCAATCCGCACTCAATATAACAGGAGATCCCACCACCTGGTGCTCTTCCCACTTTAAAATTGAGAAAATCACAATAAAAATCGTAGAATATAAAAAATTATAAATAAAAACTCGTTACAATATTATTTTGGATTTTGACAATAATAGTATAAGTTTTGATGACAATTTTTATAAACGGGTCTTCATTTGTAAGTTTTCAAATTCTATGGTTTTTAAAATTTCTTCCTCTTTCCTCGGCTATTTTAACTCTTATTGTTATATTAAACATCTTTTTGCTGGCAAAAAAAAAAATAAACATCTTTTTCCCAAACCAAAAACGATGACGCTTACAATATAATTACTCTATTATTTATTATATACATCACAAAAGTATAATTTTACCAAGCAAAATTAAGGAGTCTGGTCAGATGTACGAACATCTGTGCCCACCTAAACCTCTTTTTTTTCAAATAATTTATGTTGCCACATATGAGCTCTACGAACTTTAAAAATGCTTTAAAAAAATAATTTTATATAAATGAAGATAAAATTTTTCTTATATATTTATCCTAAAAATCCTAAAATTACTTCTAAAAAGTTAATTTAAACACCCTTATTTAGTCATTGTTGGCGTCATTCATCACATATTTTCGAATTTTTGCTTCGTTGAAAATCTTGTTAAGTGTATTTGAATCTTGAGACTGTTTCAATTTATTTTTTTTAACTCTTTCGTAAGTTTTATATTATTCTAAATATTTATTTTTTTATAAATAAAAATTTAAATGAGTTGAGTTTGAACGTCACATGTTTTTAAATTCAAAGAGTGTTTATGAAAATAAAAATCCTTTATCAATAAGATGCTCAAATTAGTAGTGAAATTTAAAAATATAATTTATGAGCTATGAGTCAAGTTTTTATTAACCGGGTCAATCTTTTACTAGCTAATTCTTTTTTTATTTATTATGATGTTTCAGGTATTTATTTCCAACTATCAATGGCCTTCATAGGTTTTGACATCAAATAAATTTCTGGATAACATTAACTGGAATATTCTCATTATTTACACATGGGCAAGGGTCAACTTCCGATTGGTAAACGAGGATAGACCCATAATTGATGGCCTCGTTTTTGACCAGCCGTATGCCGCAGAAACAGGACTCGCAAAAAGAAAAAAAATTGAGGGAATAAAAAAGTAAAACAATGTAAATAATTAGAATTAAATATAAGAAAATGTAATTAATTTCATAATGATAATAATAACCAAATGAAAAAACCATCACGGGGAATATGAGGGGAGCCTCATGACTGTCTCTTTTCCTATTTTTGGAATAATTTTGAAAAGCATGTTTTCTCATCAAAATTTTTCATATTAAAAAAACTTTAGCTATGGCGGAAAAAAAAAGGAAATTTTAAAATTGTGTTTGCTTTAGAGAGAAATACATTTTTAGTTATAAAATTGAAAATTTTATTTTCCATATATTATTACATTTTTAAATTGTTTTTTTTTGTGAAATACTACCTCCAAT